CACTGTCCCCATGTATCCTAGTGCATCCATGTCTCTCAGTGCCTCAAGTGTCACAATGTCCCCAAGCTAGTGTCCCTAGTGTCTGTGGCCCTGGTGTCTCAGTGTCCCCATGTTTCCCAGTGCTGCCATGTCTCAATGTCCCCATGTCCCTAGTCTCCCAGTGTCACTGGTGTCTCTGTGTCCCTAGGTCTCCCCATCTTCCTAGTGTCCTAGTGACATGGGGACCCTGGGATACATGGGGACAGAGGGAGACATGGGGCATTGAGACACTGATACATAGGATCACTGGGAGACCTGGGGACACAACACTAGGGGACACTGGGATACATGGGGCACAGAGACACTGATACATAGGAACACTGAGACCTGGAGTACAGCATTTTCTCTTATGTCACTCCTTGTGATTTACATCATGTGATGTCACCCACACATATTTAATTATGCAAATTAGTAAGGCCTGTATGTTTTTCCAAGAAAGGTGGCAACCCTAACTACTTTTCACATACTCTTACTTAAGTATGGAAACTTAAGAGGGATGTATGGGAACAAAACTTGTGTGGACTGGCTGACAATGAATATAGTTAAAAGGGACACTATAGTCACCAAAACAACTACAGCTTATTGAATTTGTTCTGGTGAGTAGAACCATTACCACCAGGCTTTTTGCTGTAAGCATGGTCTTTTCAGAGAAAATGCTGTGTTTACATTACATCCTAGTGATAACTTCACCGGCCACTCCTTAGATGACTGTTAGAGATCCTTCCTGGGTCATGGCTGCCTAAAATGCATCCAAACATTCAGTGTCTCCTCCCTCTGCATGCAGACACTGAACTTTCATCATAGAGATTCATTAATTAAATTCATCTATATAAGGAGATGCTGATTGGCTGTGTTTGAATCATGCTGGCTCTGACCCTGATCTGCCTATGGGGAAGCACTGTGATTGGATCAGGCCACCACTTCTAATGATGTCAGCAGACTGCTTGTTTTTATGAGTTTAACAGCATGCAGAGTTACAGCTTCAGGCTTGAATATAGTAGGATTTTGCTATATTTATGGAGGCATGAGGGGCCCAGGGGGGCTAGATGGTGGTGTTGCTGACCCTATAGTGATCCTTTAAGGTAATGCTGACTTTGGTCTCTCTAACACTGTGGCATGTTCCCTTTCTTCTACACTCACTACATACAGCTTTTCTCTGTCCCAGATCATATATCAGGAGCTTCTGCCTGCTGGTAAGAAGGTAAGGAGACAAGTGGACGAGCGAGTGCTAGGGGACGGTCCTTAGAAAGCGTTGAGTGAGCGCATCATTAGATGCATTTATGCCAAGCTCAGGGTGCTGTCTGCATAGTATGCCCTTAGTTGGCCAGCTGCATGATTGGCAGGCAGCCTGGTATGCATTCACGCCAGGCTGACCTTCCAATTCTTTGGACAAACATGCCCCCTTTTTGGGTATGTTCACCCCTTTTGGCAGGTTATGTGATTTGTGTCAGTGGCACACCCTTTTACCATGCCCATTGACTTCCTGCTTGACTGGACACTGCTGTTAGGGGTTATGGATTTACTTGAAAGATGAAAACATAAATTAGAGAGAGATTAGCCTAGGGTATGTGTTTTCTTATAGCTGCTGTTTCCTTTCTCTCCAGCACCATCTCCATGAGATACATGATGCTTGGGAGGTATGACTGTTTTTGGTCGATATGATTCTGTAATTAGGCCCGTCATAATTGTCAGCACCAGGCCCACTGGGCTCTTAATCTGGCCCTGCCCCAAATCCTCCTTTATGCACCAATACTTCAGCCACACATTGACCTCTCTTATCTCCCACTGCAGAGCATGGCACAGGTAATATCTCAGAAAAACATAGTTTAGGATAGAGTGTCAGATAAATAGAACAAGATAGGGACAGAGTGGCATAGCAAAGAATATATCCAAACAATGAGTGGCATTCAGCATATGGGTTACCATGGCAACCAACTAATGCATGTATCAACACGGACAGAAAACAGAATAAAATGGAAAAGAACTAGTACCCACTATGTGTAGAAAATAGTAAACACACTTATAAGTGGCCACAAAGATGGATTATCTAAACCAAGTTTCCATGGTGACCTATGGGTAATGAATGAAGAACGTAAAATCGGTGGGTATAGTGCACCAATCTAAAGCAACCATGGTAACCAAAAATATAAAAGTGCAATAAAAACCATTAAATAAGAAAAAATGCTTGATATTGAGGATGCCATGCCAACCACACACACTATATGTCAACAGGTAAGACAATGGGGGAATAGGACATGTACATTTTATACATAACACCAAACAATGAAACCACTCTGTAACTATAGGCAAAAAGGACAAATCTGTAGAATAAAAATTAGCAAAGTAGCAAGGTTACTTGGACAGCCAACTTGGTAGTCAGCAATAAGTAACATAGTGAAACGTAAGGGCAAAAAAGTATCAACAAGAAACCTGACACTAATAATAGTAGTGTGTAGATACATATATCCGTAAGAGTATGATATGAAAGCACATGTGAACATAGGGAAGAGATAGCCATAGAAGGACAAGCGGATATGATCTAGACAGACAAGACACATACAGTTTAAATGTCAGTGCAGAGAACAGTACATCTATAGATAGTGATATAAAAAAACAAAAAACCCACAAGCATTAAAAAGTAGCAGAAGAAAGCAGGACAGAAAGAAAATAAAGACATTAAAAATAAATAGCTATAAGGTCATATAATAGTATATGCAGTTTATGGACAGAACTAACTTCAGAGATACATGTTCCATTCATGAGTACAAACAGGTAAAATAACGCACAAGCAATAAAAGTTCAAGCGGTGTTAATCAGATGGAAAACATCGGTAGGGTCATAGTCAATTAATTCGAAAATATTATTAAGATCAAATTCCGTATTTAATCCCTTGGATTGAAGAGTGTCTATGGTATGAATCTAATTGTTTGGCTAATTTTCTGAGTACCTATGGCAGTGATGGCGAACCTTTTTGAGCCTGAGTGCCCAAACCGCAATACATGCCAACTTTTTTTTCCTCAAAGTGCCAACACGGCAATGAAACCTGAATACAGAGGTGTAAGTTTAGAAAAAACAACTTGTACAGTTGTCCGAACTAATTAACAACTTTTGTTTTAAAAGAACACAACAGAGAGTTCAATGATACAAATTTTAAATAATGATATAAATAGATAAAATTAAGCTTATATTTATTAGAATCTCCAACAAATGCAATACATACACACAGACTGCTAAACACGTTCACACACTGGCTGCTAAATAAATACACACACACCAGCTACTAAATACACACACACAGTCCGCTAAATACACACACACACAGTCCGCTAAATACACACACACACAGTCTGCTGAATACACATACAGACTGCTGAATACACATACAGACAGACTGCTGAGTACACACAGACTGCTGAGTACATACACACAGTCTGCTGAATACACACACACAGCCTGCTGAATACATACACTGCTGAATACACACACACACACAGACTGCAAAGTACATACACACAGACTGCTGAGTACATACACACAGACTGCTGAATACATACACACACAGACTGCTGAATAGATACACTGCTGTATACATACACAGACAGACTGCTAAATACACACATACAGACTGCTGAATACATACACTGCTGAATACACACACACAGACTGCCGAATACATACACACACGTAGACTGCTGAATACATACACTGCTAAATACACACACAGACAGACTGCTGAATACACACACAGACTGCTGAATACACACACACAGACTGCTGAATACATACACTGCTGAATACACCCACACAGACTGCTGAATACACCCACAAAGACTGCTGAGTACATACACACAGTCTGCTGCATATACACACTGCTGAGTACACACACACAGTCTGCTGAATACATACACACACACAGACTGCTGAATACACACACATACAGACTGCTGAATACACACACACATACTGCATTGAGGGGTGCAGTGTATGTGTTTGTGTGTAAGGGTGTGGAATGCTGTGTGTGTGTCTGAGGGGTGTTGTGTGTGAGGGGTGCTGTGTGTGTGTGTGTGTGTGCGGGGTAGGGGTGTGTGTGTGGGGGGGAAGGGGTGCTGTGTAGGAGGTAGGGTTGGTGTGTGAGGGTAGGGGTGCTCTGAGGGTAAGGGTGCTGTGTGGGTAGGGGTGCTGTGAGGGTAGGGGTGCTGTGGGCGGTAGGGATGCTGTGCAGGGTAGGGATGCTGTGTGGGAGGTGTGGGGAGGAGTGCTGGGGTAAGGGGGGTGCTGTGCTGTGGGGAAGGTGGCTGTGTGTGGGGCATGGGTGCTGGCCGGGGGTTGGGGTGCTGTGCTGTGTGGGGGCAGGGGGTGGTGTGCTGTGTGGGTGGAAGGGTGCTGTGTGTGGGGTAGAGGTGCCAGCCGGGTAGGTAGGGGTGCTGTGTGGGGGATAGGGGGTGCCAGGCTGTGTGTGGCAGGTAGGGGGTGCTGGTGCTCTGTGTGGCTGGAGAGTGCCTCCCATGGGGGTTGGGGTGCTGTGTGGGGTAGGGGTGCTGTGCTGTGGGGGGCAGGGGTGCCAGGCCAGTGGCATGGCTGGGAAGCAGCTGTGTGTGGCGGGCAAGGGTGCTGTGCTGTGTGGGGGTGCTGTGCTGTGTGGCTGGTAGGGGGTGCTGTGCTTTGGGGTAAGGGTGCTGGGCGCCTGTGTGGCGTGGTAGGGGTGCTGTGTGGGTGTAGGGTGCCAGGCTGTATTTGGGGTAGGGGTACAGGCTGTGTGTGGGGGGTGCTGGGTGTGGGGGGGGGGGTGCCAGCTGTGTGTGGGGGTAGGGTGCCAGGTGGCGCGGGTGCTGTGCTGTATGTGGTGGTAGGGGTGTTGGGGTGGGGGGAGGAGGCCAGGCTGTGGGGTGCTGTGGTGGTAGGGGTGCTATGCTGTGTGGGGGGTAGCGGTGCTGTGGGTGGTTGGGGTGCAGTGGGTGGTAGGGGTGCTGTGTGAGGGGTAGGAGTGCTGTGCTGTGGGGATAGGGGTTCTGTGTGTCGGGGGTAGGGATGCTGTGCTGTGGCGGGTAGGGGTAAAAATACATAAAAAAAAAAAAAAAAGATATATTAATGTATCCTCCCCCTCCATTCCTCTTACCTTTGGTGAAGGAGGGGAGGCGGGGGGACACAGCCGTCCCCGGTGGTCCAGTGGTGGTAAGTATGTTTCTGGCAGCTAGGAAGCAGCTCTCCATGGTAACGCACGGCAACGCTCCACACAGCATCGCGCGGGAAAGGAGAGCTGCTTTCTAAAGCCCTCCCTCTGTCCTCCCAACACGGAAGCAGAGTAGGCGCCTGCCGTTTTGGGCAGGCAGGTGCCTACTCTGCAGACAGCCAGCGGCCCACTCTCCCGGCGACCTATGGCCGCATGCCAACAGAGAGGGCCCAGCGTGCCACCTGTGGCACGCGTGCCATAGGTTCGCCATCACTGACCTAGGGGATTTTTATCTTATACTCATTGGGAGTAGTAACCAAGAATCTCTGGTACAGTATGTTTATACTATTATTGAAAACGATTACAATCTATCCTTTAATATGGCATGTGACAGTTCTAAAATTAAAAATTTTGGATCTATGTCTGACTCTCTCTACACCAGGTAGTATTTTGACAGAGAATTTTAGAAAAACCCACATCAGGTAATTATTCCTTTGGCAACTAGCTGCCATCCTAAACATACGTTTACAGGAATTTCTGTGAGGGAGTTTATTCGCATTAGATGACGATATATTTGAGGCTCATGCCAGTAGACTTTAAAAAAAAAAAAAAAGTCTCTGGGAAAGCGGCTACAGACAGGATAATATCAATAGGGGCTATAGTCCAGCTAAAAGACACTCAAGAGAATCTCTGCTTCTGGAATTCAATAGGTCCCCTAGGACAAAGAGGGACTGCAAATACGGAAATTGTTAAAGTTCTATACCAGCATCTTCCTTTTCTTAGAACTGACGGTCATTACAAACATCTTATTACTAATACCATTAACTGCAGCCTCTCGTAGAGCTCTCAATGTGGGTTTTCCTATTTCTTCTAGTCTCATAAAAAAATAACAAAAACAAAGCATTAACCCCTTAAGGACCGACCTGTTTTTGCGATGTACGTTAAGGACCAGGCATCTTTTTACACTTTTGTGGTGTTTTATGTTTAGCTGTAATTTTCTGCTCTCTCATTTACTGTTCCCATACAAATTATATATTGTTTTTTTCAGGACAAAAGGGGCTTTCTTTACATACCATTATTTATATAATCTCATGTAATTTAATTTTCAAAAGAATTAAAAAATATGATGAAAAATTTTAAAAAATACATGTTTTTTTACTTTTACTTGAAAAATCTTTTACTCACCTACAAAAGCTAATGAAACTGATAAATAGATTCAAAATTCTTTCCTGAGTTTAAAAATACCCAGTGTTTTTTTTTTTTTGCAAGTTATAGGGCTATAAGTACAAGTAGGATATTGCGGTTTCAAAACATAAATTCTTTTAATTTATCAATAGTGACATTGTAACACTATTATCTGTCATAAATCTCTGGAAAACACCCCACATGTATATATATATATATATATATTTTAAAGTAGACAACCCAGGGTATTCATCTAAGGATATTTTGACACTTTCTATGCAGCCATTTTACCACCAGTCTTTGCCAAACTTCGCATAGGTAGTTTTTTTTTTTTTTTTCCCCACATACATTGCAATTCATGTAGAAATCAAAAGACCCTGTTATGTGTTGCTGCCAAAAAAACACACTAATATGTGTTCAGAAATATCTCCCGAGTATAGTGATACCACCCATGCATAGGCTTATTGGGTTGTTAGGGGGCTAAAAGGTCATATTTGGCAGGTGCGCATATCCATTTTCCAACTTTTTGACATGTAGACAGCCTGCGCCCCTGTCCTATTTGGGTCAATGTATTTTACCCCCATCAAACCATATATTTTTGAAAAGTAGACACCCTAGGGCAGGGGTAGGCAACCTTTTAGCAGCACTGTGCCGATATAGGATTTAGATGTCCCGTAGCGTGCCGATCCTATTTTTTTTAATTATGCTGCCATATTCTGCTTGTTATTTTTACTGTAATTGCTTTGTATCATTGTATTTGTGTGTATATGAGCTATTATATTGTATATGTTCATTAGTAGTTTATGGTATCATGTATGATACATATGAACGTGGGCTGCATATGAGGGCTGCTTGTGGAATTGTGTGTGGATGGATATGTCACATTGTGTGTTTGGTAGTGTCTGGGGGCTGTTTGGGATATTGCATGTGAGAGCCTGCATGTGGGGTTGTGTGCATGTGTGTGGATTGTTAGTGGTGTTGCGTTTGTGGGGATTGTGTGTATGTTTGTGTGTGGGCTGTTATTCTGCATTTCTGTGTATATCTAGCAGTGTGGGTGGCTTCCCTGGGTTCCAGTGGGGACCAGGCTGGCCAGTTACAGGTCAAGGACAGGAGATGCAACACCAGCTGCGGGCTGCTCTACTACAGTGTGGATTCCCATTCACAAGTGCTGGGAGGAAGTGATCTGAGATCACTTCCTCTATGTGCTGCAATGCATAAATTGAGGATTGTCATTCACCACCTCTTCGTATTAGCAGATATCTGAAGTTTTACTGGGACTCCTGATAGGCCGGAGCCTGTTTGGCTCTAGCAGCCTTGAGTGCCGTGCAAAGACACCTCGAGTGCCGTGCATGGCACTAGTGCCATAGGTTGCCTACCCCTGCCCTAGGGTATTTCAACACTTTCCATGCACTAATTCTACCACCAGCCTTTGTCAAACTTTTGAGTAGTAATTTCTTTTTGTGTTTTTTTACACACACATTGTACTTTAGGCATTAATTAACAGATAGTGTTATGTGTCACTGCCAAACAACACCCCAATATGTGTTCAACAACATCTCCTGAGTACAGTGATACCACCCATGCATAGTCTTGTCGGGTTGTTTAGAGGCTAAAAGGCCACATTTGGCAGGTGCGCATATCCATGTTCCAACTTGGAATTTTGACATGTAGTCAGACTGCGCCCCTGTCCTATTTGGGCCAATGTATTTTACCCCTATCAAACCATATATTTTTGAAAAGTAGACAACCCAGGGTATTTTTAGTGGTGGTATTTTAACACTTTTCATGCACTGAATTCTGCCACCAGCCTTTGTCAAACTTTTTAGTAGTAATTGTTTTTCCCACACACTTTGTACTTTAGGCATGAATTAACAGATCCTGTTATGCATCACTGCCAAGCAACACCCCAATATGTGTTCAGCAACATCTCCTGAGTACAGTGATACCACCCATGCATAGGTTTGCTGGGTTGTTTGGGGGCTAAAAGGGCCACGATAGAGACTTGTGCATCTCAGTTTTTCAACTTGACATATAGGTATGCTTGGCCTATCTTCAGTTTGGTGTATTTTTGCATCCTCCACTGTTACCATCATGAAAGTATATATTTTTATCAAGTAGACATTCCAGGGTATTTTATATGGGGTGTTTTAACATCCTTTCCCCAACCATTGTGCTAAAATAATTTCAGAGAACCTGCATGGTGGTAATTTGTGAATTCTGCTTTTAGATTTTAGCCAGTAGGTTATATGTTACTGCCAGAAAACACCCCAGTCACTCACACGCCGCAATTGGCTGTTACTATCTGCCTGGGATGCCGGGCAGATAGTAACAACTGGATTTCGGCGGAAGTGATCTCTGATCGCTCCCGCTGCCCGTTTTTCGTTATGACGGTTCAGGACCGTCACCGGTCCTCAATGGTATGTTACCGATGATGGTCCTGAACCGTCATCGGTTGGAAAGTGGTTAAGTGGCCCATGGTTACATTGCAAAGTGATCAAATGTGGAGGTAGATTTTGTTCCCAAAGGTTTATATACAGCGCTACGGAATCTGATGGCGCTATATAAATAATAATGAGACCTCCTCTCTGTTTGTCACTTGCAGGAAGTGGTATGTGATTCATCATATCACATGCCTCAAAATGTAGAATTCAATATGTAGGTCAAACTCAACATGAACTTAAGGGACGTATTAGGGAGCATATTT